AAAGTCGTATTATAACATCGACTGAGATAAAAAATAAAATGAAATATTAAAATCATGATGTATCTCGCTGCATTGCGCGAGTACGCTTCTAGTATTCTAAAGTATATAAGAATAACATTTTTATATTTTTTAAAAGATCTTCCAAAAAAAATTATATATTAAAAATCGATTTAAAAAAAAAGTACCTGGACCAATTTGGGTCTGGCCCGGGACCGTACTGGTTACAAACCATGGAGACGGGGCCGAGGTATATTGGTCGGGATTGGGACCGGATACGAAAATAAATTTAGGAACCGGAACCGATTTGCTTCCGGCCTAGGACGATTTTTGGCCATCTCTAATGTGGCACTAGGGGTGCTCAAAAAACGACTAACCCAGTCAACTCAACTTGAAAACTCTAAAATAACTCAACTCCATATAACCTCACACATAATTAATATAAAATTAGGTCAAACCAGATCTATTGGGTTAGGATAGTTTGAATCCAACCTAAACCGATGTTTTTCTACACTATAATTATAATACGACTGTTACTTCATTGATCAATATATGTACATTAAACATTAGACCAAAACGTAATTAGCTATATTCAAAATTACATTACATCTTCAAACGTAATTTTTACTTTCTTATTTGCATGAACTTTCATTTTCTTTTATGAGTTTGTTAACTATTTTTGCATCTTCTCATTGATTTTATTTCATTTAAACAAAACGTTTTATCTAGATTGTAAAATAATGTACTAAGGTTCTAACCCGACCAACCCAACCTGTAATATCATAAACAAACCAAACCAAAGACCCAAACATATAGCATTTGAAAATAGGCTTAGGAAATAAAATGTATGCAAAACCTTTATTTGTTTTTAAAAAAAAATACTATAGAACATGTTAAATTTATGATGGAATAAATTGTCAACAACAACTGCATAAGTTTTTGATAATAATCAATTTTGTTTCATACAATGAAACAATCATATTACATGAAAATTATGTTTCACAATATACTTGTCGTAAATTGTGACTGATACATACCTACTGTGTTTTTTTTTTTTTTTTTTTTGAAATATATAATATTTATCTATGGCAAATATAATAAATAAATTCACACACCTTCTTCATCTTTAGAGAGGCTTGAACCCTTATCTCCTAAGAGGTCAATGGCTCACATACCTCTAGGTCAAAATCCCTTTAGTATATCGGTTTTTTTCTTTGCAAATTAACTTATTCTAGATATAATTTTAAAAAATTTGTAAATGTTTTTTACTTTGTTAATAAAAAGTCAAATGTTTATATAAATAGAATGCATGCATGTATGCAGGGCGGAAGGAAGGACCACAGTCAAAAAGTCAAAAACAATTCTTAACTTAAACTTTAAGTTTTACATGATTTATCTTTCACTTCTTTCCATTACATTTTTCCACGGGCCCCCCAACCCCAATTGAAACCGTTACTCTAACCAAAAAAATCTATTAAAATCAATAAAAAAAAAACCAAAAAAGTTATTCGAAATCGACAAAAACACTAAAAAAATCTCTCGAAATCAACCAAAAAACTTTAAAATTTCCTCAAAACGTTGTAATTAGATTAAAAACACATCGGATGATTTTGCATGCCTTTAATCTACCTTAAATGTGACCTCATTAGACAAAAATCATGGATCTACCACTGCATGTATGCACATGTGATGAACCAACATACATACATAATATATATATATATATATATATATATGTATATATATCTCAATAATTATTACAGGCTGAAATAAAATGCAGACAATGAACTACCGAAACTTCAAAATTTGCTCAAAAACGAATTTTTTTTATATAAAATTGGTTGATGTACAGTTAGTCTTGGTTAAAATCTTATATGTTTTTAAGTAACATAACAAGAATACAACATATAAAAAAGGTTTAAAAACTTGGCAATTTTTAAATAAAAAATCATGAAATAAATAAGATCAATTTTGGCATTTTCTAAATAAAGTTCAAAAACATCATTTTCTTTTATTTCGTTTTTTTATAAACGGTTGGTTTGTTTTTTTCTTCGTATGTGTGATTACGATATTTTATTGTAGATTACCATTTTACCCTTGAAATAAATGTTTGCTTGTGTATGTATGTATGTATGTTTGATTTTTGTCTTTTAAAATTCAATGACGTAAGTCAATGTTGTATTTTAGTTTTAATTGTTTGTCTTTGCATACATTATTGTTGGAATCAATATCAAAAGGAAAACATGCTAACAAAATATGAGGTTGTAAGAGGGTAGGATAGTCTTTTGACATTGACTTTGTGACAAAAAGAAAAAAAGGCGATCGTTTTTTAATAAATATTATTTTAGTTCTATAATAAGTATTTATATTACTATTTTAGATTATCTTAAAATAAATGTCCACTTTCAAAAGTAATTATGTCTAGTTTCCCATTTTACTCTTAAAAAGTAAAATTTATCTCTTTATAATTAAAACAAAATTATCATTTTGCTACATAAAAAGTATAATGATTACAAATTTATAAAATTGTTTTTTTTTTTTTTTTATTATAGGCATTTATTTTGGGATAAAAATGAGTAATTTAGTTAAATAAGTGGCCAATTTTAGAAAAATGAAACTACAGGGGCGTTTTTTGAAAAATAAAAGTAAGTGTTTTAAAATGCTGGCTATGGGGTTCGAACCCATGCGCACTTATGTGCAGAAGATCTTAAGTCTTCCCCCTTAACCTCTCGGGCAAACCAGCTCA